ACGATGCTGCACATTGCCCCACCAAGGGGAAACCCCGTCCGGGAAAGTAGGCGCCGCCGAGGGTGACTCGACACCTCCCTCGACGCCATCGGAAGTGGTTGTGGCCACGACCGCCCTTTCTTCCGAGGCATATGCGGATGTCGGGAGTCTTCCACTTTCGTTCGAAGACTTCGCTGCCCGGCTCGTTCCTTCACTAGATGCTTCTCAAGGACAAGATACATGTGCGGCTTTCTCACCGTCCGAAGGTTCTTCCGCCAGTTCGTCTTCATCAAGGGATTCGGCAAGCGTCTTCAACGAGGAGGCTTTGGACCCGCTCACGCCCGAGGACGTTGCTTGGATTCCTCTCCCTACGACGGGCAACCTTCCGGGGCCACAAAGCGCAGCCCTATGCGCCCTCTTACACGAGTATCTTTCCTTCCATGCACCACCAACTTCGCCGACGGTAGACGAAATCGCGGTGGGGGACATGCTTGGCTATGTTGCCAAGGTGGCCCGCGAGTTTGTCTCGCAACGGTACGAAGAAAACAACGCACCGTTGCTCTACGTTCGCATTCGGATTGGGCAAGCGGCCTGCAACGCTTTGCTAGATTGCGGCGCAACTCGCAACTTCATCAGCCAGTCCTTCATGACTCGGGCTGGCCTTGGCGCACAAGTACGGAGGAAGTCACATCCAACGACGGTCGCTCTTGCCGACGGTAAGACGAAACAACTTTTGGACCGTTACATCTCGGTTGTCCCGGTGTACTTTGCACCGCACGCATGTGAACCCGTCACTTTTGACGTGTTGGACACCGACTTCGATGTCATTTTGGGGATGCCTTGGCTTTCTAGCGCGGACCACACGGTCAATTTCCATCGACACACGCTCACGATTCGTGATGCAACTGGCGCCGAGGTCCCGTGTACTATTCCTCCTCCTCGCTCTTCCATTCGGTGCCAAGTCGTGAGTGCCAAATCTTTTCGAGACACATGCCGTTCCGAGGATGTCGAAGAGATTGACATCACTTTTCTTCGAACCGTCCCGACGACCGATTCATCATCCACGAATGTGTCTTCCGACCCCCGTGTGACCCGGTTGTTAGACGAGTTCTCGGATATTTTTGAGACACCCTCCGGTATAGTGCCGGACCGGCCAATCTCTCATGAGATCATACTTGAGGTCGGCGCCGTGCCACCGAAAGGATGCATTTATCGCATGTCCGAGGAGGAGCTCACGGTTCTCCGTGCGCAACTCGACGATCTACTTGACAAGGGTTGGATCCGCCCTAGCAGCTCACCTTACGGTGCGCCCGTTCTCTTCGTTCGGAAGAAGAACAAGGACCTTCGACTTTGCATTGACTACCGACGCCTCAACGCGCAAACCATCAAGAACGCGGGGCCTCTACCTCGCATTGACGACTTGCTTGAGCGGTTGGGCGGCGCCAAGTACTTTTCCAAGTTGGACCTCAAGTCGGGCTACCATCAGATTTCCATCCGCCCGCAAGATCGGTACAAAACCGCGTTTAAGACGCGATATGGGCATTTTGAGCGGGTAGTTATGCCTTTTGGCCTCACCAATGCCCCGGCCACCTTTCAGGCGGCCATGGCCACCGAGTTTCGCGCTATGTTGGACCGCTTCGTCTTGGTCTACTTAGACGAMATCCTCGTCTATAGCCGAACTCTAGAGGAGCATYTCGAGCACCTTCGCTGTGTTCTAGAGACTCTTCGGTCAGCCCGGTACAAAGCTAACCGCGACAAATGCGAGTTTGTCCGACAAGAGCTTGAATACTTGGGTCATTTTGTCTCTCCGGAAGGCATCGTCCGTTGGTGGACAAGATTCAAGCCATCCAGGAGTGGCCCGAGCCGAAGAATGTGACGGACGTCCGATCCTTCCTCGGCTTGGCCGGTTATTATCAGCGTTTCATCAAGAGTTACTCGAAGATCGCGGCCAACCTAAGCAAGTTACAAAACGAGGAGCGGCCTTTTGACTTCGATGACGATGCGCGCCATTCTTTTGAAACACTCAAAGCGGCACTCTTATCCGCCGAGGTGTTACATATTTACGACCCGCTTCTAGCTACGTGCATCACTACCGATGCGTCGGGCTATGGCATTGGGGCCGTCCTTGAGCAGCACGATGGCATGGACTGGCATCCGGTCGAGTAGTTTAGCAAGAAAGTACCTCCCGTGCATTCGATCGACGACGCACGGAAGAAGGAGCTTCTTGCCTTCGTCCATGCCCTCAAGCGTTGGCGACATTTCCTCCTTGGTCGGAAAGCATTCCGATGGGTAACGGATAACAATCCGTTGGTATTCTACAAGTCGCAAGACACGATTAACAGTAYCATTGCCCGTTGGATGGCCTTCATCGACCAGTTTGACTTTTTCCCCGATCACATTCCCGGGAAGTCAAATCGTTTTGCGGACGCCCTCTCACGGCGACCGGATCTTTGCACCGCAGTCTACTCTACCTTCGAGATCGACGAATACTTGCGGGAGAGCTTCATCCGCGGCTATCAAGCCGACCCCCACTTCCGCGACAAGTACGCGAATTGCTCCTCTCCGAATCCGGTGCCTTCGCATTATCGGATCCAAGAGGGCTACTTACTTGTGCATTCACGGGGTAAGGATCTTCTTTGTGTGCCGAATGATTCACACTTACGCACACGGCTTCTTGGCGAGTTTCACGATGCGCCCG